AAATTAAGCAAACACTATCATATGTTTTAAATATAAATGTTTCTCCCCTTCTCTCTCTCTCTCTTTAAAACTCTGAAGAGCCTTTTTCTGACATGAAAAGCAATTTTACCTAGTAGTGCGTGGTGACAAAATATATATATATTTATATATATAACACAGCTGATCTCGTCTTTTAATGTGCAAAAGGAAACAAAAAATAATAAAAGAAATAGTCAGAGCAAGATCGGGACATCCCAAAGTCAAGTTCAAGTGACATGAGACCCTGGAGAACTCATAGACATTAAGAGAATAAATAAAAATCGAAACCACCTCTCTCTCATTTTTTCCCCCTCTTTTTTCTCCCCTGCTTTGTCCCGAAAGGGCAGTTCAAGGTTCGCTTTTTTCTTGCTTTTTTTCTTTTATAACACATTTACAACTCTTACAAGTGCCGGGCTCCTATCTGACCCCGCGATTGCAGATCCCCCCCGAGCCTGGGGCCAGCTCTCAGGGCGAGGATCTCCAAGTCCCCGAGGCAGCGTCCGCGTCTGTCCCGGCCCGGTGGCGGGCAGCAGAGTCCTGTTTCGGGGTGGCCTTTTGCTTCTGCAGGTTTTATGTACATGCACACGAAGGAATCCCAGTTCCGGCTGCCACCCGGGGACACACACACGCCTGTGGGGGTGTGGGTGGGTGTTACATGGCAGTCGCATGTGCTGAAGAATAGGGGTCTATCCCAGTCTTGGTCATGCCTGGGAATAATATGTAGGCAACTGGAGGTTGCAAACTGGAAGCCGACCAAGCGGTACAGTTACATGGCACGACATAGCCCGGGTTAGTTGGCGAGGGGTGAGTGTGGGTGTGTTGGCTGGGGCAGCTCAAGCTGCCAAACGCCCCGTTCTGGTATCCCAAGGTGGAGGCGTAGGGCAGGGTGCTGGTGGCTAAGGTGTGAGGAACCTCAGTCATCTTCTGAATGGCGCTGGAGCTGAACTGGCTGGGGTCAAGTAAGGAGTAAGGTGCTGAGGTGGGAGGCAAGAAAGCCCTGGCCTTCTCCGGGGAGCTCAGCAGAGAGTCAGTGGCCCCCACGGGAAGCCCGGCGGCCTTTAAGGGATCGGTTTCCCCGAGGTAAGGCAAAGGGAAGACATACCTGTCCTTTTTGAGCAGGTTCTTGGGCTTGCGCCGGGGTCTGTACTTGTAGTCAGGATGCTCCTTCATG